CAGTACTGATCATATCCACCACACTTGTACATGACCAACTCCACATCGGGGGGAAATCCCCTTGACGATACAATCGGTTGAGATCAGTACTCTGTAGCATAATAACACTACTGATCATATCCACCACACTTGTACATGACCAACTCCACATCGGGGGGAAATCCCCTTGTCGATGCACTCGGTTGAGATCAGTACTCTGTAGCATAATAACACTACTGATCATATCCACCACACTTGTACATGACCAACTCCACATCGGGGGGAAATCCCCTTGTCGATGCACTCGGTTGAGATCAGTATACTGTAGCATAATAACACTAAGGATCATATCCACCACACTTGTAAATGACCACCTCCACATCAGGGGAAATCCCCGTGTCGATACACTCGGTTGAGGTCAGTATACTGTACTGTAGCATAATAACACCACGGATCATATCCACCACACTTTGATAGGTGTGTGAACTGGTCCCATAAAGCTGAAGCAGTTTTCAATGCTAACAAATGTGTCCATGTTCCCTTTTGCAGACCTAAATCAAACCCATCTGATCCCAGGACCGTCACCATCGCCGGTACGTTACTGACCCAGCCCTCTTCCCACCGTCATCTGGGCATCATCCTCACTCCTTCACTCAATCTGTCCCCCCATACTTAACACATTACAAGGCAATTTCGAGGTCGGGTTTTTCTTTTAAACCACATGTCCAACTTCCTTCCGTTTCCTGCTGTGAATCTTTTGTATAAATGTTATGTTCGTTCCCTCCTTGAATATGCTGTTCCCGTTTGGCTGTTTTCCGTTTCAGCCACCATGTCCACAACCCTTGATAAACTGCAGGCTACTGCTGCTAGAGCATACTAAAATAGTAAACTCAAGCGTCGGCCTGACTGGACGACTTCCAAAGGAGACCTCAATGTTCTCTCCCCTTGGGAATCTTTAGCATGGCGACGGCAGATTCTTGGCCTTGTCCATTTCCACCATGTATTCTCCCAATACCCCTCCTTGTTGTCTCACTTCCAGCTACCCTCTTCCCAAAGCAGTCGTCACCCTTCATCCATAATTCTTCCTAAAGCTGGCACCTCCTTTCGTAGATCAACCCTTTTTCTTTGAGTGTTGCCTGGAATAAACTTCCTGAAGATATTCGTTCACTCTCTACAACAGTGAAATTTAGTATTGCTGTTCGTCGGTATCATTCGCAATCTATGTTTTCTTTGAAAGGTATTCCTGACTTTTGTGTCTAGGCTAACCATATCTATGATATTTTCAATAGTTTGTGTATATGTCAGGTATAGTAGTCCGCAATGCTGCTTTTCTAATTCTCATCATGATTAGCATGCAATGTACTACCCGAAGTACTGAATTTACTTCTTTTGTACTCTATATTCTAATGTATCTTCTACCTCTTCTCGCTTACGAACATACTTTCTCATTTTCCATACTTGCTTAGGAGACTCCCTTCGATAGGCATCTATTTGCCTCTGGAGGATCCGTGAAATAAAAATAAATAAATAAATCAATCAATCAATCACTTGTCCATGACCACCTTCACATCAGGGGGAAATCCCCTTGTCGATATAGATACTACTTGATTCTCTAGACATCCTGCTTTCACCATCAGAGACCATCTATGTATGTACTTGTATATAATGGAATCCAGGGGGGTGGCTGGTCATGAAACTGGTTATTGGTCCCCGAACCTTTGCACTTTCTATACAGAAGTTTCCCGGCATGAAAAAGAGCTAAATGTACATGGTGAATAAACACTGGGCTGCTAAAGGCAGGTGGTCACTAAAGACAGGTGGTTACTAAATGCAGGTGGTCACTTGATGCAGGTGGTTACTAAAGACAGGTGTTCACTAAAGACAGGCGGTCACTAAAAGACAGGCGGTCAATAAAGAAAGGTGGTCACTAAAGAAAGGTGGTTACTAAATACAGGTGGTTACTAAAAGTTGCAGATGATTGTTCCCCATAGCAACCCGGTTTACCGTACAGGTTTCATTCTATATTCTTACCTGCTTCAATTCCACGTCTTTAGTCTGCGACTCCCATTCTCGTGGAAGTGGATAGTCTACCTGCTTGGGGACACTTTTAGTCTTCCACAACTGTCACAGGGAAAGTCAAACATTGCGACGCAGAGAATTAGTCGGCGTGGAGACAATGATTTCAATAAAGCCATGAACAGTATCAAAGGCGCAATCACGAGGAGTACCAAACCGATCTCGCCTACATGTGTGTACATGTATATACATGTACAGTCGACCTACCCTTATAACGATAACCTCTATAACGATATTACCCTTATAACGATATTTTTCTGCCAAACCAAATCACTCCATTGACTTTTGTATACAATGCCCTACCCTTATAACAATATTGCTATAACGATATTACCCCTATAACGATATAAAATGGGCAGACCAATCAACATTTTCCATTTTATAACAATATCTAGCAGGGAAGATGTCGAGCCCACTATCCAGGTAGGGCAAGCTTCACTTGATAAGTCGCTGGGACATGACGACATGCAATGGGGGCACCAGTGGGCACCTTGCTGTGTACATAATGTGCATGTATGTTAGTTTTTTATGCTAGGAAGAGTGTAAAAAATGAACAAAATCCATGCATCATGACGTATGTGTATGAAATGAACCAGTTACCCCTATAACAATATTACCCTTATAACAATATTTCTTGGTCCGACGCAAATATCGTTATAAGGGTAGGTCGACTGTACATGTACATGTGTGCGCATTTTATACTGTTCATAAGTTTAGAGCCCGGAGATTTGATTTATTTCGAAAACAAATACTTGTTGCACTCCTACAGGTACACTAGATTTCTACCGATTTATATATTCTCACTTTGTTGTAATGATTGATTACCTGAACAACACATATTTATATGTTCTCACTTTGTTTTAACGATTGATTACCTGAACAACACATATTTATATATTCTCACTTTGTTGTAAGGATTGATTACCTGAACAACACATATTTATATATTCTCACTTTGTTGTAAGGATTGATTACCTGAACAACACATATTTATATGTTCTCACTTTGTTTTAACGATTGATTACCTGAACAACACATATTTATATATTCTCACTTTGTTGTAAGGATTGATTACCTGAACAACACATATTTATATATTCTCACTTTGTTGTAAGGATTGATTACCTGAACAACACATATTTATATGTTCTCACTTTGTTTTAACGATTGATTACCTGAACAACACATATTATATTCTCACTTTGTTGTGAGGATTGATTACCTGAACAACACATATTTATACATTCTCACTTTGTTGTAAGGATTGATTACCTGAACAACACGTATTTATATATTCTCACTTTGTTAGGCCTTGACAGATTATGCTAGCATAATTTTTCGCATAATTCCTACCAAAATCGAATAATCGCATTTTTCGAGGCAAATTGCATACGAATCGCATAAAATTGGACTAATCCGCCTGTTCGCATCAAATTCCATACAGTTGTACATGTTCTACAAGTACAAGTGCAAGTAGACACACCAGGAAGTCGTAGGTTTACGACTCCCTTGATAACATGTCCAGTCCACTACAATCAGTGACCAGGGTGACGGTCGTAGCTAGGTCGGACGGTGCGTTGACCCCGTTGAACTTTTGCTACTACAGTACAATGCCCTCTACAAAAAAATTCACCTGTTATTTTGCACAGAACCATCATATACATCAGCAGCATATGTGAGCATAATGCCGCATAATATGATAACTTTTCGCATAATAATAGCATAATTCTGCAATTTTTTCAGCAATGCGAAAAGCATAATTTCACAAAAATATTAGCATAATCTGTCAAGGCCTACACTTTGTTGTAATGATTGATTAGGCCACCCTTTGTTAATTCATTGTTTAACGTCCTTTTTTTCGCGAAAAGGTACGCGGGAGGGCGGAAAAAAAACAAAAGCCCATTCCAAAAACTGGAAACCCCAATTAAACATTTTGACCAGTAAAGCATGTGATATATACAATATTTCTGGGTCTAACGGCACTTGCAGGCATAGAACAACACTCTTTGATGGTACATTGGAGCACATGCCTGATGAATCCAACAAAACAGGTACATAGCATGGAGTTAGCATGTCATGAATTCATTACATCTGGATTTTTACTAGGACACACACCGTACGATATTTAAAAGCCAACAAAAAAAGAAAAAGAACACAAGACAAAGGCATGCCCGGGAGGCAAGATTATAAGTTTAAGGTCATGATCGGCACACTGTGAAATTACACAATCATGTATTTACAACTTCGCATATTATTGGTACTACTACTTTCTTGTTTTTTTTCGGGTCGGAGGCAAAAAGGTACGCGGGCGCGGACGATAAACAACGAAAAAAGAAAGGGTGGCCTTACCTGAAAAACACATATTTATAAATTCTCACTTTGTTGTAACGATTGATTACCTGAACAACACTTATTTATATGTTCTCACTTTGTTTTAAGGATTGATTATCTGAACAACGCGTATTTATTAGACACCCTTAGCAAACAACGGTAACGCTATTTTTTACGGTACTCGTACCTTGATCACCCAAATAGCGTTGAAGCTGCAGCGTATAAACGTTATGGGGGCTGATTTATCGTTGTGACCAACGGTACGTGTTTTGGCCAAATATTGCATAGTCCGTACGCATTTCACCTTGTATCGCGTATATGGTGACAAAAATGCGCGAAATCAAAGCTATTCTCGTGGCAACAGCGTACTAAAAATAGCGTGCATCTTGCTAAAGGTCGAACCCAAATCACGGTATTTTCCCCCTTATGATAATACCGTTACAACATAACGTTTTTTATATCAAAAAGTATTCTTTCTAGACACAAGAGTGGTATATTTGATAACATTTAATAACGATAGAAATTTTTACGATACTTCTCCAGACGTTTCGTTGTTCTGAACAACATCGTCAGTGGATAAAGAAAATGATGTAATTAATGTTAAAATTCATTTTCTTTATCCACTGACGATGTTGTTCAGAACAACGAAACGTCTGGAGACGTATCGTAAAAATTTCTATCGTTATTACATGTTATCAAATATACCACTCTTTGGTCTAGAAAGAATACTCTTTGATATTACAATGAGAGTGAATAATCAACGGCTTGTCCACCAACTCTATAACGTTTTTTGCTAAGGGTGTCTATTCTCACTTTGTTGTAACGATTGATTAGCTGAAGAACACGGTTTTTTTTTTTGATTGATTGAAGTTTTATTTTACATCGCAAACCAAACGGGCATTGATGCCCAATATTATGATGGCGATAGAATAAAAAGGGTGTGGCTCGAATTTATAATGTTCTCACTTTGTTGCAACGATTGATTACCTGAACAACACATATTTATATATTCTCACTTTGTTGTAATGATTGATTACCTGAACAACACATATTTATATATTCTCACTTTGTTTTAACGATTGATTACCTGAACAACACATATTTATATATTCTCACTTTGTTGTAAGGATTGATTACCTGAACAACACGTATTTATATATTCTCACTTTGTTTTAACGATTGATTACCTGAACAACACATATTTATATATTCTCACTTTGTTGTAAGGATTGATTACCTGAACAACACATATTTATAATTATATTCTCACTTTGTTTTAACGATTGAGTACCTGAACAACACGTATTTATATGTTCTCACTTTGTTGTAAGGATTGAGTACCTGAACAACATGTAGTCAGCGGTTGCTCCTGCACTCATAATATCTCTTATCAATATGGTCTACAGTTCATTCAGAAAAAGATGAGCGCTGGCTCTGGAGAGCGCCCGTCTTTGGCGATTTCGTGGTACACTGTGAAGTGCTGCGAGATTCGAAACTTAAGAAAGGGTCCAAAAAGGTACCTCAACTGGGGTTCACACCACAAATGTACTGTTATGCAAGTGGAGTAAATGGCCTGGATTTTCGTGGTTTTTACCCAATTCAGTGCTTTGGGGGCCAAATCTGGCCCAAATCCCATTCCTGTTTATGGCTTGCTCTTTGGAGAAGTAGACTTTAAAAGTACAATTGGAAGAGCATTCCATGGGGGATTGCCAAAAATTCTGACGAAAACTCAAAATTTGACCCATTTATGGCCAAAAGCTAGGATATCCTCTTTTTCTGAATGGACTGTAGGGTCGGGAACTGTCTGTAGGTTGGACTTGTCCAGAACTCAGCATCAAGTACATTTTGATGGCGACCTGACAGACATCGGGCATATTACATCACTTTTCCACAACAGTTGGCAAAGAGTAGTGATATTTCACTGAGGAGCTCTCAATGAGCGAAACAGCTGTCTGGAGGATGTGCAACATCTATCAAAGAAAGATTTAACTCGCTATGGTGTTGTGAATGTGGGCCAAGAGCACAGTGTGGAGTGGTGGAGTATCTCAAAAACTAGTATTTTCAGTAAAACCTTGTCCAGACGGTGCCCAGTAAATCCAGATGCCCGTAACTAATTACTTGGAGGTCTGGGTAAGAGAGATATGAGCGTATGCAGAGTACATGTTCCCTGAATACCGTCATGAAACACGTTTCTCAGTGAGCTAGCGGTGCGTCCTAGCAGGTTTGCTAAGTGCATAGGTCGATGTGCTGCCAAAGATATTGTGAAAAAAATCATCAGCGTTCTATTTTCGGTGTTTTGGGTCAGTGCCAAATGTAGCCAAAATAATAAAATTTCGGCTACGTTCGACACCAAAAATAGCTGATGAAATGTTGTATGCATGTCCATGCATTTACAGTATCCTGTTCCTACATCACATGTGACATGGAACTATTACTTGGAAGAATTACACAGGTCACACAAAACACGGTGGACAGTTGTTTTGCCGTAATACTGAAACGATTATAAGTACTGAAACGATAATACTGAAACAATTTGGTATTATTACATGATCTCATCATCATTATTGTACGCACGAGACACACAATAGTTAGGGTGCCAATTTGTCATGAATACCCTGTCTGTAGTGATTGATACTCACCGAGTTCATAGCCATACGTGATTTCCTCTCCCTATCCCCTCTCGAGTGTTTGACGTCACGTCTGCCCGCGTGTACCGGTGAACGTCCACTTGCCTCGCTACCGCAGTGTGTAGTGTGGACGACAGGACCTTGACTCGACAGGTAGTCAGCACGGCCGACAAATCCCCACACCACCGCTCACTGGTGTTTGTTCGTCGCCGCACTGTCTTCACTAACGTTACTGTCTCGTTTCCGCTTGGTGACTGTTATGTTTCCAGTGCCGTTCCGTTTCTCTACATTTCCACCCTACAGATGATAATTACACCGGGGACCGATAGCTAGTAACAAGCGGAAGCCGTCTCTGTTTGGCAAGTAGATAAAAGTGAAGCCAACAGCAGAACTAAGAAGGTCTTGGTTGAACAGCTAAAATAGTAGTGCACCCCACGGCAGGAGAACTAGCAAAGGGTTTTGTTCCGCTGTGAGCTCGCAAATCGAGCCTAAAATCGTCCGACTCAAAATTATTATACCATACAGGGCGCAACTAAACTAAAGACTAAAGTTTTAGCGGGCTGTGGCCGTGGTGTGAGCCCGAATCTCATTTCAGTGCAAGACAGGGATAAGATCGAACTTTACACTCATCAGTCTGCAGCGCCAACGACACATACCACAGACACAGTGCTGCTCAGTGGAACCTGTCATTCAGCGCCTTTCACCATGTCGCAGACCAGTGTTCTGTTCGCAGGTCTAGGGCTGCGCAACGTCCAGTCACGTGTACTTGAGTCACGTGACTGGATTTTATCGAGCAACACTATCTATAACTATTTTCTAGACGTGTTTCAACGAGCTCCTTCATCCTCCCTCCTAGCTACCGGCAGTACAGTATCTGCATAGCGTCATGTGCAGACGGCAACGTCCAATGCTGCCAAAGTACTCGGTGCGGTGGTCGGGTGCACCAAACAACAAGATTTCGCCGAACAGAAAGTACTGTGCTTGGGAATCAGAATGGCAGTCAGCTAGCGAGGACTGAGGAGTTTCGACGAGAGTTCAGCCAGTCGACTGTACTAACTAGACTACTAGATGGGTATAACAATTATTAACATAGGAGGGAGGCTGAAAACCTTTTGAAGGAACTCCAGTTTACAATCCATTTGGCTGTGTTAGAACGGTTGCCTGGCGATACCTTTACTTCACATGGGGACTGAATCAGCAGTGACCTTTATTTTGACAGTTTGTTTCGAGCGGATAATCATGGCAGCGTAGGGACACACCCCATTCTCTTGCTCGATTCTCACCACCCACACTTCCGAAGCCTCTGCTTCGTTTAGGCCTTGACGGATTATGCTAATACTTTCGTTAAATTATGCTTTTCGCATTGCTGAAAAAATTGCAGAATTATGCTATTTTTATGCTAAAAGTTATCATATTATGCCGCATTATGCTCACAAATGCTGAAAAGCAATCATCAGGAGACTGGGGCTATAGTCGGGGTTGTGTGGTCTTATTCACTATAGGTGTCGTCCCATGGCAGGTATGCAATGCTAGTGTTTCAGCGCGAAGGCGGTATAAGTGATCAGTAGAGTGTTATGCGGTTGGCATGGGAGTACATGTATTATGAAGGCAGTGTAAGTGATCAGTACAGAACTATGTGGGTGGCGTGGGGGATATTATGACACCAGCCATGACGCTACCGGACGGCGGGGCAAAGGAGAATACAGGCAAAAAATGCTAGCCATGCCATTTTGGCTTGGTGAGAGTTGGCACCAACTCGGGGTGCTAGTGACTCGGGGAGGGCGCTAAGTTATAAAATTGCAGAGGTAGAACCTTGATTCGTGTCGGCACTTTGACACCAGCTCTGTGCGCTTGTTGAGGGACGTTTCCTTGTCTGCATTGCTGATGTATAGCTTCTCTGTTAGGCACAGGTCACACCGCTTGGTGGTGTTGGTGTAGGGACGCGCCCTGCGGGCGCTGTCGGAATCCACGTGAATTTCCGTCATGTACGGTAAATGAGTTCGTCCGTTAGGCACTGTCCGTTGAGCGGGCAGGCTCCCTTGGACCTGCAGTTGCACATTTACGTTTTTCCGATTTTTGGATTTACGTGGATTCCGACAGCGCCCCACCCAAAATCTACCATGGACTGTCCGAGAATACAAGTACATTCAAGCAGCGCCTCAACAGCCACAACACCTCATTCCGTCACAAGAAGTACGAGAAAAGCACACGGCTGTCGAGATACGTTTGGGAGTTGCAGGAGTCGAACAAGACCTACAAGATCTGCGGGTCGATCCGAGGCAGGGCGCATCCCTACACCAACACCACCAAGCGGTGTGGCCTGTGCCTAACAGAGAAGCTATACATCAGCAATGCAGACAAGGAAACGTCCCTCAACAAGCGCACAGAGCTGGTGTCAAAGTGCCGACACGAATCAAGGTTCTACCTCTGCAATTTTATAACTTAGCGCCCTCCCCGAGTCACTAGCACCCCGAGTTGGTGCCAACTCTCACCAAGCCAAAATGGCATGACTAGCATTTTTGCCTGTATTCTCCTTTGCCCCGCCGTCCGGTAGCGTCATGGCTGGTGTCATAATATCCCCCACGCCACCCGCATAGTTCTGTACTGATCACTTACACTGCCTTCATAATACATGTACTCCCATGCCAACCGCATAACACTTTACTGATCGCTTGCACTGCCTTCGCGCTGAAACACTAGCATTGCATACCTGCCATGGGACGACACCTATAGTGAATACGACCACACAACCCCGACTATAGCCCCAGTCTCCTGATGATTGCTTTTCAGCATGAAACTCGTGAGTAGAGACATTTAGTCACTTTTTTTTTGTTCCACCGGATTTTCGTGTGTACTAGTCTATACTAGGCTCTGCACGCTGTGTATCGAGCACTGTGACCGGTAGTCAAGGTTCTTCTGTGTACATGTCAAGTACTTATAGCTATACAGTCTAGTAGTGTTAGTATTAGCATCTAGCCTAGGTCTCACACGAGTCACACGCGTGCTACTCTGTGACTCGTGTGTTAACGTATAACATGTTACTGCTCTGCTTCCGCATTGCAATGCGGAATCGCATTGCAATGCGGAAGCAGCGCAGTATTGAGCACTCTATCGAACCGGGGGGACTCCGCTCTCTGTAGTCTAAGGTCTCCATGATAACAGGCGTATGATCGTATGTCTGTGCACAATAGCTAGATATACCAGGCACAAAGACTAAAGTGTCAAGTACGCCTGTGACACCACTGGACACCGCCTCATCACCATACCAGTATCACCCAAACACTGGCCTCATCACCGATCCCCGGATTTCGCACTTCCCACCTTACAATACGTCACCCAATAAGTCATGCTTTGGACCCTCAGCTCAGGCTCCGGGACTGGTACCTGTATGCCGTTGACATTGGAGGTTGCATGCTTCCCTGACTACTGCATACAGTAGATCTACTTACGGTGGACTCATACGATTGGAAGACCTCGACGCAACTAATTACTTGGATCATTGATCGGGGAGGATGAAAACTGTGACAGATGAATGAGTCAGGCGTCAACATCATTCGGACGGATGTATACGGTGTGGCTGAGGATAGAGTAGATCGCAGAGACGAGAGGATTGCGTCTGTACAATGCCATTGTCCTCCCTAGTCTCCTATACAACTGCGAGGCATACAGACTGACGACAGGAAACCGCTCAAACCTTGACGTACTCCACAGAAAGCAACTTCCATGTATCCTGGGTATCAAGCTGCAAGACAAAGTCAGCAATGAACGCCTGCGCGCACATTGTGAAACCTTTTGCTGTATATGGCTATGCCAGCATTACATGATTTACTCAAAGCCGTACATCAGTGAATAATAGCAAGAAGGGAAACCAAGGAGGAATCCGGGTTGAACAGGAAAAGCAAAGACAAGACTATTGAACGGATCGAGCACGCAATACGCGTCATTCCCATCGTGGATATGATAATTATTCAATTGACATCCCTATGTAAGAAGCAGGTCGCATAAATATATACGTTCTATATGCCAATACAGGGGAAACAAGAAACTGTTTTGATGGAACATTAAAACAGTTACACGCACTCGTACATGTAGGTCATCTATGAATGCAAAAAAAGACACAAACATTCACACGCAAACACAGAAACATACACACACGAGTACACACACACATACGCGCACACTCACATACGCGCACGCACACACACACACACATACACACACACACACACACACATACACACGCGCGCACACACACACGCACACTCACACATTTTAACACAAATACTTCCACGTTGTGTGTTCTCTAAGTAAAAATGAATTGGTCAAGAGAAGACGTTAGAAAGACAGTCCAGGACTGTGTGAGTCTTGCAATCGCACAGGATTGTCAACAACACCACCAGAGCCAGGGGGCAACTAACCACGTGTTTTTAGTAAGTTGAAACTTTTTACAGTGCACCACGTGGACCGGGTAGATTACTTCATTGCTGGTAAGATGTGTTCTCAAGGCTGATACGTCTTGTCATCTTTCCAGGATTTGATCTGTCATAAAAGCTGTTGATGATGATTTTGATGTGTCTTGAGAGCTGTTTATGTTCTGATCTGTCATGACAGAGAGATGATGATAAATTGATCTGTCATGAGAGCTGTTGATGACTTGAAGGATTCCAATGCCAGGCAGTGTGAGAAAGCGCATAATATCCCTGATCAGCTACAGTCATGCAGTGAGGACAGTAGCACTGTCTCCCGTACTGACATGTATGCACTAGACTAGCAGAATGACAGAGAAATTCTCTATCATTACACAGTTCACCGGCATTGCTAAACTATTCACATCATCTGCATCATTTGCATCTGCCTACAGTAGATTGGTGTTTGTCGTCATCTACTGATCTGCTAAACTGTCAATCCTACAACTGACAGTGGAAAGATCTTGACAGGACACGCTCATCCTCGCCTACGTCACTATGCACATTTGATCACTGACAGTAGATTTCTGGTATGCTGGAACTGCATAGCATCATACTAACGTATGGAATGTCAGTCATTGAACAGAGCTTCCATGTCTTGTGTCTGAGCACTTGCAATGATCTTATAAAGTGCACGAATACATTTTCAAGACCTGTCTGCCTCAGTACCAAGTATACACATTGCCATGATGTGCACACACTTGAAAGGGATCAACTGCTTTTCTGCTGTTTCTGCTGATTTTGAAGTTGTAATTGCTTTTGATTCCTTTCAAGTGTGTGTACTAGGCTCTGCACCTTGGTGTATTGAACACTGTCATGAACAACCTGCAACTCTCTTCGAGTATGCATCTGTATGTGAAAGCTGAGACCACCATTGGTAACGGGTCATTTGCGTGTTGAAGACGATACTGTTCACCCAGTACTTGTCCTGCCGCCTCGTTGAGACTGACATTCATACATGTACATATAGCTGGCTGGTACATCAGATACTAGTGATAGCTGATATACCAACAAGGTATGC